GGGATTGCTGGACGGGGATGTGGCAGAGGAGGGGCAGGGGCACAGCCTCTGCCCCATGTTCGGTTATCGGTGCAGGAAGGGAAAGCAAAGGCAGCCCAAGGTTGAAGGAGACAACACCTCTAGATGAGACTAATTAAAAGGAAGAGCTAATCAAGGCCTGGAGCTTTCAGGAGTCCCGCTGGGCTGGAGGGGCTAAGGGGGGTGCACCTTTTAGGGGAAGGAAGGTCTCTAATGAAAAAGGGAGGGCAGTCGGGGTGGTGGGAGCTGCCAGGGCCCTGCCAGCGTCAGACCCTGTGTGAGCGTGGCAGGTCCTGCCGGGACGGGGCAGTGGGGAAGGAAAACTGCCTGTGGCTGGGGAGGGTGCACTTGCTCAGCACATAGCCAAGGCTGTTGGAGGATGGGTTCACCTGTTCTCCAGCTCCAGGATGACTGCTCCAGGACTTCTACAGGGAAGTCTCTTTTCCTAGAATTCAGGTTTATAACTTCACCTGACCCATGGCTGTCAGGATGAGCAGCTCCACTGGTGTGTGACCTCTGCAGCCTGGGCTGCCCCCAACATCCGTGATGAGGTCACTGCATTGGTGGCCAACAGGTCCACAGTCACATCCCCTCTGCTAGGGCAGTCCGTTACCTGCCTTGGGAAGTTACGCTCTGAAATCCTCTGGATTTCTGTCCCTGGATGCCAGACCGGGGAAGCTGTGGGGGGAGCTCCCAAGTACCTGTCACTTTGTGGGGGTTTGTCACCCCTTGAGATCTAGACGTTAATTACAGTTATTTGAAGCGCTAGAAGGTTTCTGGTTTAAACATCCAAACCTCTCTGCCTGCTGACCCGAAGCTGTTGAGGTTTCCTGGTGCCACTGCCTGGAGCCCTGCCCTGAGCTGTGCACTGGTGTTTGCCTAAGGACAGCAGGTACAGGAGTTTGCCTGGGTGTAATGTCTTTCATTTGGCCTCCCTAATGGATAATCTCAGAGTCAGTTTCAATTAGAAGTGAAATGTTTTGATGATTCTCAGCCTTATTTTAATTCCCTTCTGTGTAGCATACACTGTAAATTGATAAAGCTTAAAATCAGGCACTGCAAAGGCAACAGAGGCCTTGACCAGAGGGTTCTAAATAAGGGTCTGGCTTTGTGCAAAACCTGCCTTTTGGGTTGGTTTAGCTAAAGATACGGAGACTCTCTCAAGTATTTACCTGCAGCCCATCCCCAGGGTTACACCACACCCTCAGCAATGTTAATCCCATTGGCTCTTCTCTAGTACAGGTGATGGATGTGCCAAGTGCCCTTCCATGACTCTCAGGTTGCTGTTTGTCTCAGGGGGGTTCTCACACAGTCCTGCTCCAGTGCATCTTCTGTGTATCACATCAGCACTGTGTATCTTTGCAGGAAATGTATTTTCCCACCCTGGTCTGACTTTACACCTTTTTCCTAGTCGCCATGTGCTGACACCTACATGGTTGTGATGGTTTGTGGCTCCCCAGGTGAGCATCTCCCTACCTGCTGCACCGGGGGAAAGAGCTCGTGGGCTCTGGGCACCCACTTGGGGGTGGCATTTTGCGTGTGGGTTCACGTGGCTTCTCCCCTCCTCGGCTCGGGGTGTGCGAGCCACGGCCTGATGCAGGGTGGGGACAGGACATGGGGTACTAACCTGCCCAGGGGTGTGGGGGGACTGCAGTGCCCTTGTAGCCAGTCCTGGCTCCAGGGTGGCACCTTTCCAGACCCATCGCAGCCGTGTCAGTGCGCAACAGAGCAGTAATGCCCCTTGGGGTCGTGCCAGTCCTCTGGGCAGCAGCAGCACCGGGAGGGTTCTGGAGGAGGATGGTGATGAGGAGGAAGATGCTGTGTGGAGGCCACAGTGCCCAGCAGGACTCGAGGCTCACCGCAGGCCGGGGAGGCCTGGCTGGCATCACGCCAGGCACGAGGGCGAACGTGCTCGCTGCGGAGCCCGTGACCTGCTTTCCCTCCACACCTACCGAGGGCTTCGCTCGCAAATTCCAATCCTAATCCAGCTCCGCTGGCTGCTGGCAGAGCCCACTCAGCGGGTCCCTCCAAACGGGCTCTCCTCCTCCTCCTCCGTGGCGATGCCCCCACGAGGTCCACCAACGCCTGTGCCTTCAAGAGGTAAATGAGAGTAGAATAATTAGCAATGCTGAGGGGTGAAATTCCTCGGGTTTAATTTCTACCAGCTCTGCTATCGTGTGTCCTGGGCTGGCAGCGGCGCAAGGCAGACGGGGCAGCTCTGGCCAGGAGCACTCTCGTCCCTTTGCCCTCTGCAGGGTTGGGGCAGGACGAGGCTTCCCAGGTCCATCCCCTGTGTGTGTCTGTGTGTCTGTCTGTGTGTGTGTGTATCTGCACACGCCAGCGCTTCTGTCGCCCTTTTGTGAGTGAAATGGCTGTTTGGGAGCAGCGAGCGAGGGCTCCTTGCCAAGCTGCCTAATTAAGATTAAGCATATGCAGATTCGCCTTGTTTTCAGCTAATGACAGCTGCAAACATTTATTGGGCTCGCTGGCTGTGGATGGGTGACACGAGGCTAGCGAGGACTGAGCAGTCTGCCCGTGCGCAGGGCACCACGGCCGCGGGTGTGAGCAGCACTGGCATCCCAGCAGCTGCTTGGGCTCAGCCCTTGGTGCTCCCCGAGGGGTTGGGCAGGTCAGTCCTACCTGGGGCTGCTGGAGCTCTCCCCGCACCGTCAGTGCTCCCGGAGGGACCGCACAGGTCAGCCTTGCCCTGGCATCCTTGGGATCACCCCCAGCTCCTTGAGGTGGGAGCTGCCAGAGGGAGGGTTTGGTTTTGTTTTGTTTTGTTTCCAGCGTTGCCAGCAGCACAGACACACCATGATGTTTTCAGAGGAAAACAAATAAAGATGTGTGCAAACGTCGTTTGTGGTTCCCCTGCCAGCAGCCTTCAGCGATGCTCTGCCAGCTGAGAACTGAAGCAGAGACCGATGTGGGAACTCCCTGCCTGCAGCCCTGCCCCGAGGGCACCTGGCAGCTCTCCAAAATCCTAAGGATGCTCTCAAAAAGAGCGCGGTTTCCTTGGTTTTATCCTTATTGTGAGTATGCTGGTGGAAGGAGAGAGCCTTGCCCAGAACAGCCTCAGCTAATGAAACGTTCTGTGCCGCAGATGAAGGCACTCTGTGTTGTTTTAAGGACACAGGGAAATGAGGACATGGGGGAAAAAATAGTCACCGTGGAGATATAATTAAGTCCTGTTTGACACACATCCTGCTGGCTCTCAGTGCCTCGGGGCTGGGATGCTCTAGTGCTGTCCCCCTCCTGTGCTGCAGCCCGGCAGGGGTGGGCATGCTCGGCTCTGGATTCAGAGGGTTTGGGGATTCCTCCCTGGCTGTTTGGCTGAGTCCTGTACATCTCTCTCTGCTGTTCTAACCCGGGGCACACAGCCGGGGTAGGTGACAAGGGCAGCGCCTTCTCTGCCCTATGGGCATAGGACAGCCCAAAAGCTGCGGGCCAGGAGTGGGCTGCACCCTGCAGGCTGCTTGGCTGCAGGTTACCTGTCCTTGGCCCCGAGCACCAGGAGCAAACTGCACTGGGAAGCTGAGGTGAGCTGACAGCAGCAGCCCCAAGGTGAGAAGGAGACAGAGGCACCCCCATCTCATTCATCCCATTCATCCATCCCATCTTATCCTGTGCCATCCCCCTGCAGCCCTGACCCTCTGGTACTCCCATGAATGCCCTGTGCCCAGCCCCAGTGTCTGGTGGTCACTGGCCACCTCCCCAGCCCACACAGCCCTCCAGCCCTGAAACGAGGCTGTGCTTCTCCCATAAGGAGCCGAATCAAGAGCTCAGATGCTTCTGAGAATATTTTGGAGCATTCCTGATTTTAATTGGGCTTATTTAATTATTATTTACTTTGATTGCACAAACTGTTGTGTTTAAATAACGCTGTTTTTGCCAAGGCGCTGTCAGGGAGAAGCTGCTTTCCCTTTAGGAGCTCTCAAACATGGGCTGCCGTCCAAGCCCCTCGGCACAGCAGCACGTGGAGCACTTGGAGCATCATCCTCCCCCGGCCAGGAGTGCACTCAGTGCCGAGGGACAGCTCTCCTGGCTGCAGGGAGGGGAAATGGGAGCTTTGGGCTGTTCCCAAATACACCTTCAGCATTACCTGTGGGGTCCTGGCAGGACTGAAGTCTCGGCGGTGACCATCCTGCAGCCAGGCAGAGCCCAGTCCCTTGAGGAGTTTGTGAGGTGTAGGGAGAACAGATCCAAAGGGTGTCTGAATCACAGGCAGGATGAATTGCTGAGCTTGGAAACCTGAGGGGGAAGAGAGAGCTGAACACAAGGGATAGAAGCACTTGGTGAATATAGGCAGCAGCACCCAGCAGTGGTGCTGGATTACAAGTAGACACATCCTCATTCCAAATCCAGCTGTGGGGTTGGGTTTGTTCATC